GTCACAGTAGTTTCATTTTTGTCAACACATGGGATGTCGATTAAGTAATGTATGTAGAAAAGATTTTAAAATTAAATGTGAGAAAGAAGTTTGTAGAACTTCTTGCAAGACACACTGTGAACCCTGGTATTTCCAAAAATGAATGTGACAGTCATTTTGCAATACATATAGAATTGTTTAAAAACATTTGTGAGAAATATGGTAAAGTGGTATTTGCTTGCTACATTGAAAACATGTTCAGGAGTGGATGTTCTGCTCGTTCTATAATACTAAGACAGAAATGTTTAAGAACACAAGAAATATGTGCTTGTATGTCTTCTACTTGCTTGCATTAATGAAAACAGTGGTGTTACATGGAATGTATGTGATGGCCATTCTGTAAAACATGTAGCATAGTATTAAAACACACATTAACAAGCATTGGCAAGGATGTGGAGAAAATGGGACCCTCCTACACTGTTGGTGGGAATGAAAATTGGTGCAGCCACCTTGGAAAACAGTATGGAGGTATCTCAAAAAAACTAAAAACAGAAATACAGTATGACCCAGTAATTCCACTTTTGGGAATTTACCCAAAGAAAACAAAATCATGATTCAAAAGATATATGCACTATGTTACTGCAGCATTATTTACAGTAGCCAAGATTTGCAAGCAGCCTGTGCCCATTGATATAGATGAATGGATAAAGAAGATGTGATACATCATATATGTAATGGAATATTACTCAGTCATAAAAAATAATGAAATTTTGCCATTGGCAACAACATGGATGGACCTAGAGGGTATTATGCTCAGTGAAATAAGCCAAGCAAAGAAAGACACATACCATATGATTTCACTTACATGTAGAATCTAAAAAACAACACAAATGAACAAAACAGAAATAAGACTCATGGACACAGAAAAGAGACAGGTGGTTGTCATGGGGGAGTGGGGTGGGAGGGTGAAATAGGTGAAGGGGATAAAGAGGTACAAAACTACAATTATAAAACCAGCTAGTCATGCACATGAAAGTACAGCATAGGGAATATAGTCAGTATGTTAGTATCTTTGTATAGTGACAGATGGTAACTACACTGACAGTGGTGAGCATTTTGTAATGTCAGTAATTGTCAAATCACTGTATTGTATGCCTGAAACCCATATAATATTGTATATCAATTACACTTTGATAAAAATAAATATTTAAAACAAATATATTTAAGTTAATAAAATTAAAATTCAGTTTCTTGGTCACACTAGTCACATTTCAAGTGCTCAAGAGTGTCTATAAATTTTACAGCACAGATACAGAACGTTCTCATCATTACAGAAAATTCTTCTGGACAGGGCTATTTGTTATCATGCACAGTTTATTGAACATTTATTATCAAGTGCTTCTAAGTGTCCTGTAAAATATTTCCTATAAGGGAGAAGGTTATGGTGTCTGAGATCTACAGAGAAGCTTCTCTTGTGGTATTTAATCTAAAGAAATGGGGCGGCAGTTCTGGGATTTGATCCCACTTTGCTTTCACTAGCAGTCTGACCTTGGGTGAGTCCCTGAATTTCTTTTCTACTTGCAGTTTGCATAGCTTCAGTTTTCTCATTTGCATAGCGGACATTTACACCCACCTGACAATTCCTCTCAGTTGTTTTGAGAAAGACATAAGATCAGAGATGTAAATATCACTTTTTCAAAATCAAATGCACTGGACAAACTCAAGAAGTTCAATGACATGGCATTGTAAGACCATAACTTTCAGGAAGATACTTTTATATGTATTTTTTTATTGAGGTAAAATTGGTATATAACATATACATTTTCAGGTACGTAAGAGTATATTTCAACATCTATGTGTACTATAATGCCATCACCACTAAAAGTCTAGGTACCATCCATCACCATATATTTGTATTTTTTTAAACATCTAAAGGAGTGGTTCTGAAGGAGGGGCAGTTCTGTCCCCAGGCAACATTGGGCAATGCCTGGAGTCATTTTTGGTTGTCACACTGCAAGGCTACTGCTGGCATCTGACGGGGAGAGGCCAGAGATGTTGCTGAGCACCCTGCATTGCACAGGGCGCCCTCCTCCACCATACACACCAAAGAATTAGGCAGCCCCAAAACGTCAATAGAGCCAAGGTTGAAACACCTTGGTCTTGAGGGCAGAGATGTCCATTTTGCATAGCTGCAACCTTGCTGAAAAAAGTGGGATAAAGAAATGAAAGCACACACAAAAGAGTCATTTTTTTTTAGGACAACATAAAAAAAAAACCTTTTGGAAGTACCATAAGAAGGGTGACATTAATTCCACTTTAGAGCAGGGGTGTTCACCTGGTGTTAATAGATTATTAAGGAATTTCAGGAAATGTGAATGTATCTGCACAAGTGTGGTATATGTGCACACACATGTATGGGCACATGTGAGCACCTGGTACATCATACATGTCTGTGTGCATAATTTCTAGGGAGAAGAGCCATGGCTCTCATCCTGGTGGCCTAGGACCCCAAGATGTAAGGTTTTTAAATGTCAGAGAAATTAAATAAATTCTATCCGAGTTTATTTTCACTGAAACTTCTTTCTGTGAGGGAATCTGGAATTTTGTTGCAGGTCAGTTAAGAAGGTAGCAGAGACTAGGAAAAGGCCAGTGGCTCAAAGTGACAAAGCGTATTTCTTGTATGTTCTAGCAGGGGGCAGGTGAACATAATCCTTGCTGATGAGGTCGCTGCAAATCCTTTCTTTTACTGGTACTTGTGTGAATGCTTGTGTTTGGCTCTTGCTGCAGTCATTCAGGAAGTCAATCTTTAACTTATTTGCAGTATTTGAAAGTCCAGATACAGAATTATGTTAGATACCTACCGTCCCAGACAGCAAGTCTATTATATAGCTGTAAAAGTAAATGAGTCCAGAACTACTTATTGGATATACTGTGCATTGTATATCTGTAAGAAACAAAAAGAACATCATTAGTGGAAAAAGTGTTACAGTCTCTCTAACTTGCCTATCATAATTTGTGTATAGTAATGCATGTAAATGGACATACATTCAAATGTATCCTCTATAATTATGTGCGGATGTGTTTGTGAATTTGTGATTGTTTGCAGTCCAAACCCCCAGGCACCAAGTATAGTCACATTTTCCCCTTTCACTATTATCCCTAGACATCTGGGAATATGTGTTTTAAATACACTTTGTGTGTGTGGGTCTACTTACAGTAAATGTTTGCTGCTCACACTGGTAGTTTGTGTTTTGGGGTTCACGTGGGCTCATGTTTTGGAATATGTGATTGATGTAATTATTACTCTATTTTAAGCACATCCAATTTTAAAAGATCTCTGTGTATAAATAAACATTCACTTTCACTTGGAAAATACAAATATTTATATATGCATAATTAACCAAGAAATTGAGTACCAATTTTAGTGACACTACCTTATCTGTGAAGACCTATAAATTTTACAGCACAGATACAGAACGTTCTCATCATTACAGAAAATTCTTCTGGACAGGGCTATTTGTTATCATGCACAGTTTATTGAACATTTATTATCAAGTGCTTCTAAGTGTCCTGTAAAATATTTCCTATAAGGGAGAAGGTTATGGTGTCTGAGATCTACAGAGAAGCTTCTCTTGTGGTATTTAATCTAAAGAAATGGGGCGGCAGTTCTGGGATTTGATCCCACTTTGCTTTCACTAGCAGTCTGACCTTGGGTGAGTCCCTGAATTTCTTTTCTACTTGCAGTTTGCATAGCTTCAGTTTTCTCATTTGCATAGCGGACATTTACACCCACCTGACAATTCCTCTCAGTTGTTTTGAGAAAGACATAAGATCAGAGATGTAAATATCACTTTTTCAAAATCAAATGCACTGGACAAACTCAAGAAGTTCAATGACATGGCATTGTAAGACCATAACTTTCAGGAAGATACTTTTATATGTATTTTTTTATTGAGGTAAAATTGGTATATAACATATACATTTTCAGGTACGTAAGAGTATATTTCAACATCTATGTGTACTATAATGCCATCACCACTAAAAGTCTAGGTACCATCCATCACCATATATTTGTATTTTTTTAAACATCTAAAGGAGTGGTTCTGAAGGAGGGGCAGTTCTGTCCCCAGGCAACATTGGGCAATGCCTGGAGTCATTTTTGGTTGTCACACTGCAAGGCTACTGCTGGCATCTGACGGGGAGAGGCCAGAGATGTTGCTGAGCACCCTGCATTGCACAGGGCGCCCTCCTCCACCATACACACCAAAGAATTAGGCAGCCCCAAAACGTCAATAGAGCCAAGGTTGAAACACCTTGGTCTTGAGGGCAGAGATGTCCATTTTGCATAGCTGCAACCTTGCTGAAAAAAGTGGGATAAAGAAATGAAAGCACACACAAAAGAGTCATTTTTTTTTAGGACAACATAAAAAAAAAACCTTTTGGAAGTACCATAAGAAGGGTGACATTAATTCCACTTTAGAGCAGGGGTGTTCACCTGGTGTTAATAGATTATTAAGGAATTTCAGGAAATGTGAATGTATCTGCACAAGTGTGGTATATGTGCACACACATGTATGGGCACATGTGAGCACCTGGTACATCATACATGTCTGTGTGCATAATTTCTAGGGAGAAGAGCCATGGCTCTCATCCTGGTGGCCTAGGACCCCAAGATGTAAGGTTTTTAAATGTCAGAGAAATTAAATAAATTCTATCCGAGTTTATTTTCACTGAAACTTCTTTCTGTGAGGGAATCTGGAATTTTGTTGCAGGTCAGTTAAGAAGGTAGCAGAGACTAGGAAAAGGCCAGTGGCTCAAAGTGACAAAGCGTATTTCTTGTATGTTCTAGCAGGGGGCAGGTGAACATAATCCTTGCTGATGAGGTCGCTGCAAATCCTTTCTTTTACTGGTACTTGTGTGAATGCTTGTGTTTGGCTCTTGCTGCAGTCATTCAGGAAGTCAATCTTTAACTTATTTGCAGTATTTGAAAGTCCAGATACAGAATTATGTTAGATACCTACCGTCCCAGACAGCAAGTCTATTATATAGCTGTAAAAGTAAATGAGTCCAGAACTACTTATTGGATATACTGTGCATTGTATATCTGTAAGAAACAAAAAGAACATCATTAGTGGAAAAAGTGTTACAGTCTCTCTAACTTGCCTATCATAATTTGTGTATAGTAATGCATGTAAATGGACATACATTCAAATGTATCCTCTATAATTATGTGCGGATGTGTTTGTGAATTTGTGATTGTTTGCAGTCCAAACCCCCAGGCACCAAGTATAGTCACATTTTCCCCTTTCACTATTATCCCTAGACATCTGGGAATATGTGTTTTAAATACACTTTGTGTGTGTGGGTCTACTTACAGTAAATGTTTGCTGCTCACACTGGTAGTTTGTGTTTTGGGGTTCACGTGGGCTCATGTTTTGGAATATGTGATTGATGTAATTATTACTCTATTTTAAGCACATCCAATTTTAAAAGATCTCTGTGTATAAATAAACATTCACTTTCACTTGGAAAATACAAATATTTATATATGCATAATTAACCAAGAAATTGAGTACCAATTTTAGTGACACTACCTTATCTGTGAAGACCTCATTCATCTCCTCTGTATCAGTCAGCTATTGCTGTGTACAAATCACCTCAAAGTCTCTAATTTAACATACCAAACATTTTCTCATTCATGGATCTACAGTTTGAGGTCGTTCAGCTGATTTGGGCTGAGCCAGGATGAACTCTAGGCTTCCAGTTGGCTCAGGTCTGCTCTGTACGACTTCATTCTGGGGCCCAGGCTGAAAAGGCAGTGACTACCTGGGTGACACTCTTCTCATAAGGCAAGCTAACCACACCAAACCACTTCAAGCTAATACTCTACTAGGCAAAACAAGTCACATGGCCAAGTGCAGTACCAATGGAGCAGAAAGTTTTGTATTCTCTGCCAATAGTGGTAGGCCCTGCAAAGTCACAATTATAAGGGAGAAACAAATTCAGGGAAATAATCCAATCAACCACCCTTCTCTGGGCCTAAGTTTTTCCTTTATTAAAATAAGGGAGTTGAACCAGTTCCTCCAAGGCTACCTCCAGGTCTACCACTTCAGAAGTCTAACATGCATATGTTCATTTATTCATTCAACAAACATTTCTTAATCACTATGCACCAGGTAGATGTTAGAGATAAAGTGATCAGTAAGGAGGAGGTCCTGCCCTTGAAAAGCTCACCTCAAGTGGTAGAGAAAGACAAGTAGCAGTTAGGTTTATATAAGGCCCTCAAAGGGTTGTATGAACATGGTATTATATGCAGAGAAGGAGAGAGTCACTCTGTTTGGAGGAGTCAGGAAGATGGAATGATGCCTACCACTTTGCTCCTCACTCACTGTCCTCTAAGCCTAGAGCTCAGCAAACTATGGCCTGTGGGCCAGATCTGTCCAACCAACTGTTTTTGTCAATACAGTGTTACCAGAACACAGCCAAGCCTTTCATGACCTTTGTCGGTGGCTGCTTTTGTACCATGCAATGGCAGCGTTGAATAGCTGCAACAGAGACTATACAGCCTGCAAAGCCTAAATTATTTACTATCTGGATCTTTACAGGAAGTTTGCCATCCTGCTGTGCCAGGCTTTTCGTGTCTTTAGTATGCTGTTTTTTCCCACTTCTGGACCTTTGCAGATGCTGTTCCTCTGTGTGAAGACACTTTTCTGAGCTCTTCAATTGCTGCCTTCTCCTTACCTGCCGGCGCTAGCTTAAATGTCTGTACCTTCACAGGGGGCTTTGGGGACCCCTCCAGTGTCCTGCTGTGTGACCCCATAGGACCTTATCCTTTCCTGCATGGCTAAATTCAGATCTTATGTACTTCTTCCTGTGGTCGCTCCCCTAATGCCCATCCTCTGCTGGTTTCATTAATGCTGTGGATGCAGGTACAGTGTTCCCTGCCGTAACCCCAAAGCCTGGCTCAGGGCCCAGCACACAGTAGGTGCTCAATAAACACTTGTTGAAGGAATGAAGAGGGGAAGGAAGGTGAGACAAAGGAGAGACTTTTGATCCTTTCCTTAAGGGACAGAGCTCCCTAGGTAAGTTAAAAAAGAAAACATGTACACACAGTGGGAGGATATTGTCAGGAGAAAATAGTGATGACAAAAAAAGAGACGCACAGTGACCATGCTTAGAGTCCAACTCCATTTTATCTTCCAAGGCTACCTCCAGGTTTACCATTTCAGAACTCTACCATGCATATGTTCATTGATTCATTCAACAAACATTTCTTAATGTTTGAATTAAGTGTAATCTACACTCAATCTTGAATTACTATTTGAGAATGGTATGAGGGAGAACTCAACATTTATCTTACCTCATAGGATATCTAATTGACTCAGCACCATTTATTAAAACACCTGTTCTTTCTCCCATGAACTGCAGTAGTGCTTTTGTAATTGACCGTAAGTGTATGAATGTGTTTCTGATTTCTCTATTCTGTTCTGTTGGTCAACTTATCTGTCTGTGCACCAATACAAGAAATCTCCCCTAGACCAAGGTCCTGCTTACAGCTGAGGGAGAAGGGAACAGGCAGTTGAGTCTAGTGGTTAAGTGCCCAGGCTCCAGATTCATAAGAGAGAGAATGGCATTCAGTTCTTCTAGAAAGAGAGAATATTAAAAAATAATAATAACAGCTGTCATTTATTGAGTGCTTTCCATGTGCTGAGCACTGTGTAAAGTTGTTTACACATATTACCTTACTTGAATACTCATTTTAAAATTGAGTATTGCTTAAATAATTTATGCTATTTATGTTCCATATTAATAATAGGATCTTATTCTTTTCAATTATTTATAATTTACAAATAAGAATTATTAATGACTTAAGAATTAAATAGTGAGGTGTTACCTGAATAATGAAGTAACTGTCTCAGTTTCAGTTACCACCTCCCCTCTGTGGAGAAGGAAAATGAGGCTGTAATCAACTAGCAGAGCTAGGCCTTCAAACTGAACCCAGGTTTCACAAAGAAGCAGGTAATATTTATCCATAAGGTGGACACAGAAAATGAGAATGTAACATCTAGCACACAGTAGGCACTTAACATGAGTGCTCTGAATGAAGTCAGGTTTTCCATGTTACTTTATTTCTAAGTGTAATAGAATTTTTAAAGAGACAGATATAATCAGGAGGAATCTTTAGGGCCCCCGAAGTGATTCTAGAGGGTGCTTTTTCTGGGGAAGGAGTAATGTGGCAAAAGCATGAGGTCAGGACTTGGAGAGGCCTGGATCCAACTCAGATCATCTACTTTCAGCTCCTAGCACAGAGCCTGGTACCTAGAGGGTACTCAATAAATGTCTATGGAATGGCAGAACTCTCCCTGTTTCAATAAACCAGAGGCCCAGAAGGTTTCACTTACATTGAGAATTCAGTAAGAAAACATGGTCCAGTACTTGTCACAGACTCTGGCACATGACTTAATAAATGGAGGCCTGAGCATCACCATTATTGGAGATAAAAGCCTTGAAATAAAGTCACAGGAGTAGCTTGTATTATGTTTACTAAATATTCCTCTGTCCTACCCTGCCATGCTCCTCCCAAATGCTTTGCTGACTCAGAAGTGGCAGAGTGACTTGCTTTGGCTAGTGAGATCTGGTCATCTCCAGGCAGAAGCTTTAGGAACCAGCACATTTGCCATGGCTCTTTTTTCTTTGGACATAATGAATCTCAGTGCTCCAGATAAAGAGTGCTCCATCAGCTTGGGCTCCAGAGTGAAGATACTATGGAACAAAGTCACCACCAAACAGTGATGGACATGTACTGTGAGTGAGGAAGAAACCTTGGTGGTTATTAGGCACTGAGAGTTATGTGGTCATTTGTTTTTGCAGCATAACCTAACCCTTCCTAATACAGTCATATAAGACTGAGAATATAAAGACTCCTAGAGAAGGAAGTAGTATATCTAGGTACATGGTGACAAGAACACTCTTCATGGCAAACCAGGCTTTAGACTCACCAGTGTCTTTGGAGGGAATGAACACAAAGCTGCTGTTGGTGACCTTGTATTTGGTGAGCAAGACTGGGAGCAAAACCAACATAAAGATGATCAGAAATATCACCAAATTTAGCAACACCAGAAATCTCAAGAAGGAGAAATAGGACTGAATTCCGGTGCCAAATTTCCCTGGAAAAAAGAAATCCAGACATGATTGACCAGGAGTATTGACCTACTACCCGCTGTTGATTCAGTCAGCCACGGAGGGCCGAAGTTGGAAGAACCATGGCAGGAGAGAGAGGAAGAAATGTTTAATTTTTTCTACTGTTGGTATTAAGCTTCTACTTACTAATGGTTTAAACTTTCCCTTGTAAATCTACACTCAATCTTGAATTAACTATTTGAGAATGGTATGAGGGAGAACTCAACATTTATCTTACCTCATAGGATATCTAATTGACTCAGCACCATTTATTAAAACACCTATTCTTTCTCCCATGAACTGCAGTAGTGCTTTTGTAATTGACTGTAAGTGTATGAATGTGTTTCTGATTTCTCTATTCTGTTTTGTTGGTCAACTTATCTGTCTGTTCACCAATACAAGGCTCTCTCATTACTCTAGACTTCTAACAATACTTGATAAATGATGCTATAGGTCTTTCAGCTTTGTTCTTCCTCAGGTATCCTTAGCTTTACACATCTTTATATAAATCTTAGAATCATCATATTGATTTTCACACATACAAGCATGTGCATGCATGCACACACACGCACATGAAATCTGCTGAGATTCTGATTGGGATTACATGAAAAATAGAGGTGAATTTGAGCACAGAAATTCACATCTTCACAATATTGAGTCTTCTAATCCATGAACATAGTATATTTAGGTTCTTTAATTTCAGTATTTTACAGTTTTCTGTGCAGAATCATTGAACACCTTTCTAAAGATACATTCCTAGATATTTTGTTTTTTTGATGCTATTATGAATTGTATCATTTAAAAGTTTTTATTTTCTAAATGTCTGTTGCTGCTATGTAGAAATACCACTGGTTTTTTATGTAGAACTTGTATCTAGCAACCATGCTGAATTCACATTAATTTCAATAATTTTTTATTTTTTATTACCTACAAACTGGGTCTTCTGCAAAAAAAAAAAGACATCCTATTTCTTCCTTTCCTGTCATTTTCCTTCCTCCCCACATCATTGTATGTTGGCTAGGACTTCCAGGACAATGTTGAATAGCATCTGTGATAAGGAGCACCCTTTTCCTCAGTCTCAGAGGACTAGCAACCTCCACTTCCTACTTAATGAGTACCTAGCCAGCCAAGAAATTACAGGAGCTGAGTCACTGGAGAGAAAACCAAGGTCCCAGTTGCCCAGGGAGAACCTACGCTCCAACACACGAGCCATTTTCTAAACAAAAATCTCCAGAAAGGCCACCACTTAATAAGAGAGAGGAAGCCGGGCAGGGCAGCTATAACCTTGGGCTCTGAAACTTGACTGCCTGGCTTCAAATCCTGGTTCTGCCTCATCTTGGCTGAGTGAACTTGGGCAAGTATTTTAACCTCTCTGAGCCATACAAATGATAAAATACAAATATATGAAATGTTCTAATAGGGATTAACTGAGATAAGATGTAAAAAATAACACAACATCTGGTTCATAATAAAGGCTCAATAACGATTAGCTTTTATTATTTTGCCCCAAACATGATATTGCACTAGATCCCAAAACAAAAGTATGACTAGATGGTCGAAGTTTCAAGTAAGCCTATGAAGTCCCTTGTAATTATGTTACATTCCCCCAATAAAGCAACAATAAAAAAGACAGTTCATTGGATAGATTATCAATGGTATTCAATAGGTCTTAAAATAGTAATAATGGGGACAACATTTCTTCCATTTTTCCTGCCATGTTCCTTACAAACTTAATAAAATTCATTTTAGCAGATTCAAGGAGATGCTTGCAAACTGTTTTGCTTTATGGTAGAAACTAAAATCCTAAGAGGTATTTTACCCCTGGCTTTGCTATGTCACCCAAATGTTTTGATTTTATATTTTTTTGGTACAACTTCCTATTTTTGTATACTTGCTATGGACTGAGTTATGTCCCCTCCAAATTCACAAGCTTTAGCTCTTAATGTGATGGTATCTGGAGGTGGGGTTTTGGGAGGCGATTAGGTTTAGATGAGGTCATGAGAGTGGGCCCTGATGATAGGATTACTGTCCTTGTAAGAAGGGCTACCAGAGTACCCACTGTCTCTAATGTATCTCTCTCTCCCCAAGAGTGCACAAAGAGGAGGTCACGTGAGGACATGGTGAGGAGGCAGCCTGGTTTTGAACTTCCAGTCTCCAGAACTGTAAGAAAATAACTTTCCATTGTTTAAACCACTCAGTCTATGATATTTTGTTATGGTAGCCAGAGCTGACGAATGCAATACTGTGTTCTATTTCTTACCATTTTGGGAAGGTAGGGATTTTCATAAAATTACCAGATGAACCAGCAATTTCACACCTAGAAATTTCATACCCCAAAAGAACTTCCAGGAACATGGGCCACCTTTGGCAGCCTGGTGAAGCCTAATGAACCCCATCTCAGAATAATGTTTTAAATACACCAAGTACAGATAGATACATGATCATAGTATTGAAAACCAAATTTGTGACAGAATAATACATGAGCATCTTCATTAGCACATTAAATAAGAAGATCTAGTGGCAGATCTAATTGCTATAATTTTGAAATAGTGATGAGCACCATGGTATTCCAAGATCACTACAACTGGAAGGGATGGGAAAATAGCTATGGTTTTCCTGGTGACAGAGACACAGGTTCTAATCCTAACTGGGGTTTGTTGCTCGAATTTATCGGAAAGGAACTGCTAAATTTCAGCTGGCAGTTAGCGAAAAGGAATCTGGACCTTTTCCCCAGACATAGGAGACTTCTGCGAGGAACGTGTGAAGAACGTGTGAAGAATGTGGGCTTTGGTACCTTCTATGCTGCGAATGTCCTCCCGCCACAGCTCCAGGTGGGACATCATCTCTCGAGCCTTCTCAATGAACCTCTTCCAAGACTTGCTGCTATACCGTTTCCATTGGTCCCACTCAGATAAATACTTCATTTGGGCCTCCTCAATATCCCTGTGTTACAAAATGAGCATGTCAGTGACAATGGCAGTATCACCAAGCCTCAGCATCAAATAAAACCCCAGCAAAGAGGACGTGGAAAACCTGGAGCCCCTCACACATTGCTGGTGGGAATGTAAAGTGGCACGGCTGCTAGGGAAAACAGTTTGGCCATTCCTTGGAAATTTAAACATAAAATTACCAGATGAACCAGCAGTTTCACACCTAGAAATTTCATACCCCAAAAGAATTGAGAACGGTCTCATACAAAAACTGTATATGAATGTTCAGAGCAGCACTACTCACAATAGCCAAAAGGTGGAACAATCCAGATGTCCATCAATGGATGGATGGCTAAACAAAATGAGGGCTACCCATACAATGGAATATCATTCAGCCATAAAAAGGAATGAAGTACTGATATATGCTGAGGCTTGGATGATCCTTGAAAACATTTTACTAGATAGAAGAAGCTAGGCACAAAAGGTCACGTATTACAAGATTTCATTTATATGAAATGTCCAGAATGACAGGTTAGTGGTTGGCAAGGACAGAGGGGAGGGGGAAATGGGGTAACTGCAAACAACAATGAGGCTTTGGGGGATTGCAGAGTTGCAAGGAGCGGAGCCTGGGTCCCTGAACGACTGCCAAGTTCCCCCTTGACTCAAACCCCAGGACTTTTATCTGAGCAAGAAATAAACTTCTAATATGTTGAGCAATTACATGTTTGAGTAACTGTCACAGCAGCTTAGCTTACCCTAAGTAGTAAACTTTTAATTATGGGAACTCTTCAGGAAATGCATTCCATGCAAAAAACACACCTCTGTCCAAAACATCTATCATATGCCTCCCAGATGACTACTGAACAAACCTTAGCCTCCTTTTCTCAGAAATGTTCAGTGCATACTTTCGAATTGATTGGCTATTGAGGTTTTCAGTGATTCCTCCCTCCAGTTGGGAGCTGTAAGAGTCTGTTGGCTTTAGCAAAGTGCCACTCTGCTTGTCTCGGGAAGGGATGGTTGTCCTTTTGCGTGCAATAGACTGGTAGCTTGGCAATTCTTGAAGGAAATTCACAGGTGGAGAAGAAAAGCAACTGGAGTCCAAAGAGAGGTTCTCTGCATAAGAAAGAAGAAAACCATTATTCACCTCAGTGAACTTGGGAACCAAAAAACAAAACTTGTATATAAGGCTTGGATCTCAGAGACCAAAACTAAACCTTGCAGGTAGTCACTAGCCTGGGCGACTGACAAAAACATTTGTATCTTAATTATTTTATTTACCAGAATGGTGCTCATGACAATGAAATCATCTGCAAATTGGTTCACTTTCAGCAGACATGTTTGCAAATATGCTTTAAGTTACATGTTATCTGAGTTACAGTGTTTGGCTGCATCCACCATCTAAATGTGTGGCCGTAGGCAGTTATCTGAACTCATATTCTTCACTGTCTATTGAGGCTAATAATATTCGCCCCAACTTCTTTCACATAGTATAGAGAATAATGAAGCATGGGATAACATTTGAAAAGCATAAAGTACTGTACAAACACACAGTAAAAACAAGATCAACAACAATATAATAGTAGTGTTTATGAGCATTTTCCTATGCACTGTTAAGTGCCTCACACATACTCATAGGATCTGGGCTGGCCTGTGATCTGCTTGGACCAACAGAATGCAGCAGAAATGATGCTGTGCCAGTTCTAAGCCTGGCTTAAGGAGGCCTTGCTGGCTTCTGCTGCTCTCTGGACCCTGGATGCCACCATGTGAACAAGCCCAAGCTAACCTGCTGGAGGACGAGACCATGTGGAGTAGGGGTGATCGCCCCATCTTAGACCATCCCAAACCAGCCTACAGCCAGTTGTTGCCCAGCAGACGACAGATATGCACACAGACTGAGGTAGGTACTATTAATATCCCCACTTTACAGATGAGAAAATACGGTAATTGATGGGCTACCCATCCCCTTGCCCTGGTCTTCAAATCCCTGCATGATCCGACTCCTTCTTCCTCTCCAGCTCTTCAGGCTCTCTGCACTCCAACCATACATTTTTAGAATCTTTCATATACTAAAATGTGCCCATGTTCCCTCCTCCTCAGAGCCTTTGCATATGCTGTTCCCTCTGCTTGGAATGAACTTGCCTCTTTATCCTCTTAGCTCCCACTCAGATGTCCCTGCCTCACTACACTATTGCAGGTGCTTTGTCACACATTTTCCCACACCCAGTAAGTCCTTTACAGCACTCAAATACTTATTTGTGTGACTATGTGAGTACATCTGTCCCCCTGTAGGCTGTAAGTTCTCAGAGGACAGGGACTGTGATGATTTCCTCACCACTGCAACCTGGGCCTGAGCAGCATCCTGAGCTCAGAGCAGGAATTCAATTAAATACTTATTGGATCAATGAGTGAATGGATGGCAGTCCTAATTTGTCCATGCACAAAAAGCCTGTGAGTGGGGGGCTGGAAACAAACAGGTTTGCCTGACTCAAAAATCTCTATTTGCTCGACTCCCATCAGGCCACAGGTGGAAGTTAAGTTTTGCTGTACCTCCTGCATCAGTCTGAGAGCAAGGGCTTTGGGTTGGAGGTGAGGGATATCGCCTTCTAGATGGGTGATCAAGGTGGGTGAGTTTAGTTGTGGGAAGAACACTTTCAGGGGAGACAAACAGGAAACAGGAGAAATAGGAGGCAGCCTTAAGTACCTAAGTAATTCCTCTATTAGGCAGCAAAGCTTTTATGACTTGGTGTTGGATGCTAAATTGTTTAGGTTTGACTATCAGCTCTGTGGATTTTCAGCTGTGTGTGTCTTCTAGAAAGTTACATAACCTCTCTGAGCTGTTTCCTCTTGTCAAATATTCATTCAACAAACATATCTACTATGTATCAGACCTAGAGGTAGGGATACTGCAGTGAACAAAACAAATGCTTTACTCATAGGGCACTTATAATCTGAGGTGGAGGCAGGGGATAATCAGACAATAAATAGGCATGAATTTTATGCCAAGAGATAGCAATTAAAAAACCAGAGTGGAATAAGGCGACAGAGATGATGGGTGGGGTACACTGTTTTTGATAAGTTGGAGCCCAGGTACAGTCTCTCTATTAAGGCAGGATTTAAGCTGAGGATAAATATAGGGAGGGCATGGGCACTACGGATATTTGGGGAAGACCATCCCAGGAGAGGGAAACAGTAAGTGCAAAGGCCCTGAGGCTAGGTGTGCATGGCATGCTTGAGAAGAACACAGAGGCCTATGTGGCTGGAGAAGAGTGAATGAACTGGAACCTGGTAATCTCTTTTGTTGGTGGCCCCTTATGTGGCACATCAGTCCTTCTGGGCTGGATCTGTGACTTGCTTTAACCAAAAGATGCAACAGAAGCAACACTCTGCCAGTTCTAGACCCAAGCCTTAAAAGGGCCTGGAAGCTTCCACTTTAGTGCTCTTAGGAGCCTGGAGCTGCCATGTAAGAAGTCTGGCTATGCTGCTAGGACAGCCACATGGAGAGGAAGAGGCCCCAGGCCTCCAAGGAGAACCAAAGTCCCAGGCTTATGAGCCCAGCAAGGCATTGCAGCCAGTCCCCAGACTTCCAGGTCATCCTTGCTAGGCACCACCATTGCCAAGAAGAGGCCATCTGGATGCTTGTGCCCCAGCAGACACCACATGCAGTGATCTGAGCAAATAATCTCCTCTGTGCTCTGCTGATTTCCTGATGCACAGCATCAGCTGATAGAATAAAACAGCTTTAGCCATCATGTTTGGAGTAGTTTGTTTAGCAACAGTAAGCAAATGGGATGGGGAGAATGGAAAGCAGGGGTCAGAGAGGAGGCTGTAGCCAGACCAAGTCAGACTTTGTGAGCTGGGTATGATCCTTGGATGTGATAGATGGCAAGCCACTGAGGCTCTGAGCTGAAGCATGTGATCTGACCATGTTTTAAAGATTCAGTCTGGATGGGTTGCAAGGCTGGGGTCACCTTACCAGCACTAAAGGTGATCATCTAGGTAGAAACACTCAGCACAGTGTCAGGCACACAGTGGGCTGTATAAACATACTTAGAGCTAACAGAACGAGGGAGCACTGGGAGGAGGGAACCAGCCAGGGCCTTGATCTAAGTTGGATCTGACAGGGTAGTTCTGTAATCTTTGCCTCTGACGGGCATGTTCACACAAAACAGAAAAGCTGTCTCACTGCACATGACACACAGACACGTGCCTGGAGTCCTGCCATCCACCAAGTGGGAGCCTGCAAATCTCACTCAACCTTCATTTCCCTGGCCCAGCACATCCTGAGGATATGACACTCCCATTAGTAATGTGGCTCCCTAAAGCAAATATGGGGGGGTGCGGGAAGGGCCTGGAGGATAGAGGGTCCAGCCCTGGCTGGAGGTCACGCCACTCTCCAGACAGCAACAAAGAGCTGTTATTAATCTTGAACAAAGGTCTTTGAATATGGAGCAGCTGTGACCTCCTGAATATTCAGTAATGTGGGGTCAGGAACCGAGGGCTGGAGCTGGAGCCTGAGCTGGCTTGTCACCCACTAGCCAGGCCACCCCAGGCAAGACAATGCCCAGCTCTGAGCAGCACATTTCTCATGTCACAAATGGGGGATATCATACCATGGACCTCATCAGCGTGATTGTGAAGACAAAGGTCCAAGCAATACGAATAAGGTTGGCTAGGGTTTATTGAGTTCTTGTGCCAGGCTATTTGAAGTATTCAATATGTATTACCACCAGACTTAATACTCTGAATTACTCTTTAAATAGAATAAGCCCATTTAACGGATGGAGAAACTGAGTGTTGGAGAGGTTAGTGCCTTGTCCACTCATACAGCTGGGAAGTATTGGAACTAGGATCCTATCACAGGCTTGTCAAATGCAAAAGTTAGTCTCTTCACCAAGAAATGGTTTGGTGGGCCATGGATTTGAAAGCACTTTGTGAACACTAAAATGCCATACAGGAAGAATAGGTCTATTCACATTTCATAAGGGTAGTCCCCAGTGAAAAGCTGTATTTTCAAAATGGCCATCATTGAAGAGGAATGACTGTTCCTCTTCAGATGTTCTTGAGAAATTAATCAGCTTCAAATAATAAATCATGCCTTTGAACACAGGCATCATTATTTTTATAACTATGATCCACCTCCTCCATTTTCATATAGAACCACACACATGCTGTCATCCAAGGAGAACCAAAGTCCCAGGCTTATGAGCCCAGCATCTGATATCTCACTCCAACCTGTACAGGCTTTACTGTCCTGGCTTTTCCACAGAGAAACTGAGGCCCAGGGAGAAGGCAGCTTGCCTAAGACTTGGATGTCAAACCCTTGGTTGAACTGCTTCTTGTAGGATGTCAAACCCTTGGTTGAACTGCTTCTTACAGGGAGATCACATCACCTCTTGAGTTTGTTTTGTCATCCCTAGAGTATGTCTCAGTAGAGTCATTGTCAGATGTTCCTCCTGAGTTGGTCTGGCTGAAAGTGTCATCAGCATGGCCACTTTAGTCACACAGTCAGTGTGTGGGTTGCTTGTTGACTAGCTGCATGGGAGGCAGGAGTATATTTCAGATATTGGGGTGCCTTCATCTGGAAATAACTAGAATCTGCTGACCCATTGGAGCCAACAAAAACTGGATTTCAGCAATTAGGAGATTATTTAAGTGGGAGGATGACTGGGTCATTATAGCAAATGTC